TTTAAAATAAATCATGGGGTTTAACTCTACTTTAAAATACATCATGGGGTTTAACTCTACTTTAAAATACATCATGGGTTTTAACTCTAATTTAAAATAAATCATGGGGTTTAATTCTACTTTAAAATGGGGTTTAACTCTACTTTAAAATACATCAAGGGGTTTAACTCTATTTTAAAATACATCATGGGGTTTAACTCTACTTTAAAATAAATCATGGGGTTTAACTCTACTTTAAAATACATCATGGGGTTTAACTCTACTTTAAAATACATCATGGGGTTTAACTCTACTTTAAAATAATTTAACTCTGCTTTAAAATACATCAAGGGGTTCAACACTATTGTGGCAGATTCTTACCCTCTTCACTGGGAGAATGGGAGTCGTGGTGACGACGAAGTTCTGGCAATCCCATCTATCTCGCGGAATCCCAAATACTTCTGTGATTTCCTTAATTTCTCCAGTCACATTAGGCCGGTTTCTGAACTTGGCCACTGAAAGTTGATCTTTCACGTTGCCTGGAGCTCCTTCATTATCTACTGAGCTCGAGGTGTCCGCATACAAAGCACGGTCGATGCAGCACTCTCCGAATAGATGGCAGTCTGCATCACAGAAACACCGACTTTCCGCGTACCTTCACCAGGACAATGACGACTGTTACTTGAGTTCTTATGCCTTAATTAAATATGTAAATTACATATCAGGAAACATATAACACATTTTCTTAAATATTGCTCTTACATTTGATCTACGTCATCGTTCCAATAATCTTTACGTTTATAGAACACTTTCCGCTTATAAAATACAGTATCAACGGAAGTACCCGCAACTATGGGTGGACGACCAAGGGATCGAAGTTAGAATCCCTGTAGGATCAAGTATTCTGTCTTCACCAAGTCGTCCAGACAGGCTCTAGGACCCACCCAACCTCCTATCCAATAAGTACTGGGGGCTCTTTCCCCGGAGGTAAAGCGGAAAGGGCGTGAAGCTGACCGCTCACCTCCAACTAGTGTCGAGGTCAAGCAAATGTGGATCTAGACATCCACTCCCCCACACGTCTTCATGGCGTAGTGCTTAATTAGTTAAGAGCAGGGACAGCTCCAACTTTACCCGCAAAGGTAAGGGCAGGTAAACTCCATCTAGTCTACTAACCAAGGTACGTCATTACCTCGCACAAGCAACCTTACGGAGAGAATTCCTGCGTAACTGTGGTCATATAAACAGTGGAAACAGAATCATAAAAAACTGCGATGACGTAACATTGCTCCCGTAGTAGACGGAGTATATATGTAAACGCAGTTAGGAAGATATTTATGTACGATATATAAATGATTATTATTATTCAGCATATTGCAGCTTCTCCTCTCCTATCTAGAAATTTAAAGGCTAAAATATGTGGATCTGTAACTCCAGTGGCTACGGGTCTCACCCTGAGGAGGAAACGCACTCAGAGCAACGTGGCGAGTAGACTATTTGGACCTACGGCAGAGGAAACTACACGAGAGTTGCGAGAATTATACGCTTTACGATGCTCTCAGTATGTATACAGTATAACATCGATAACTGATGAAGGATGAATCGCAAAGGATTGGGAAGGAAGCGGTTGTGGCCATATCGAGATACCTTCCTCGGAATTTGCCTCAAAGTTCTAAGGAAACGCACGAATATCCTCAATAAGGGTAGCTGGTACCCCAACTGAGCACCTCCCGAAAACAATTATGGAAAATCACCACTAGGCTGTCTCGCTCAGCAATGCAACATGAGCATATACGGAAAACTTCACTATGAGTACTATCTTGCTTGCTGCCTGCTTTTATGCTGGTGTGTTGCTTGGCTTATTCTTCTACCCTGAAGATGGAANTACGGAAAACTTCACTATGAGTACTATCTTGCTTGCTGCCTGCTTTCATGCTGGTGTCTTGCTTGGCTTATGTTCCTCTGAAACATCGGTTGACTTTCAACGGACTACATGGCTTTATATTTCAGAAGGTAGTACTCTTCATAACCACTGCTGTGAGAAACTTAAATCCTATCTTTTTTTATTGCTAGTGGGGGTGGGCTTAAGTCCCTTGTACTGTGGCCACTTCTGGCCTATTGTAATAGCCCCAGATGATAGGTGAGGGTGATTGTGGAGCAATGGGTGGAATGCAGATTGGGAGGGGAAACCGAAGTACTCGGAGGAAACCTGCCCCAGCGCCAATTTGTCCACCACAAATCCCACTTGACCAGACCTGGGATCGAACCCGGCCCGCCGCGATGGGAAGCCAACGACTAACCGCTTGAGCTATGGCGCGGCCAGACCTTAAATCCTATATGCAGTATTTTTATTACTATATTATCAATTTATACTCTTCAGCACACGGCAATTTGAATGATGGGGCTGTCGGAACAGTGCTCGTACATGTGATAGATGAAAACTGCACACAAAGATATAATTCGGATAACGTAACGGGGAAAAAACCTCTTCGGAGGCTTAGGCTTAGGGCGAGTTCGGTATCAATAACGAGCGTAAATAAATATGGTGTGAAAATGGGAATTTAATATAACTGGCTCAGGATAGGGCCAAGTGGCAGACGGTAAATAGGGTAATTAAACTTCGGGATCAAGAAAGGAGAGAAATACTTTGACCAGCTCTGTGAATATCAACTTCTGAATAAGAACTTTTCTCCACGGGATTAGTTACTTTTACATTAACAAAAGCTACTCTTAGATTGTCGTTTACAATAAAATCTTGCACTAACGAAATATATAGATATGGGATCTCAGACTTCGATACATCAGAATGTTTTAGCCTGGAAGTCGAATGTAGGCACTTACTTCTCGTAGTTCATAGAAGTGAGCTTCCCGTCACATGTCTCCACTCCGTCAGGGCAGTCTGAAATGGCTTGAACCTCGTCCAATCTGAGATGATAGGCCGACAGAACCGACCGGCAGGTCAGTACCAAAACCAGCAGATGCGAAGTGTACAGCATCTGGTTGCTCGTAGCTCCTGCAAAACATATTGTAACGTGGATGGCCAGAGCGTTTCTAAGCAATCGCTCGTTGCCCCAGTGGGCCTAGGCCTACCTCCATGAACGTCTCCGTTCACTTCGGTCTTTCTAGATCTTACACATTCGGTAGGACTCCTTGGGCGGGTGATCAGCTCATCGCAAGGCCTCTACCTGTACACAAACATAGAAAAACGCACACAAATATCCATGCCCTGAGTGGGATTCGAACCCACGATCCCGGTTTCCGAGCGAAAGAAGACAGTGCACGCCTTAGACCGCTCGGCTACCGTGACCGGCTAAAACCATCTTCCAGTTCTTCTAATTCTGATATGTTGCATATTTTCAGCGTAGATTTCTTATTTCAAAATTATTGGAAGTCTTGGAAGGAGTTCGTGCAACTCCATCGCATTGGTAACGATATTGGGGCCGGCTGTGTGAACGTCATGGAACTTGTCATGAAGGATGAACCGTTCTCTTGTTTCCGGCTCAACTTCCGGCTCGGATTCTTCGGTTTTTATCTCTTATTCGGTCCCGCCATGCTTCCTTCTACGTCAAGACTGTTTTATCCTCTGGTGTAGGGCTGTCAGAAGCCTTGGAAGATGGACGTGTTTCATATTCCGTTTGGATTTTGTTGGATTGTGATGTGTTTATAAAGTAAATTTTGTATTGTCCAACAAGATATTCCGACAGGGGAACCCTCACCGTATTCTTTCTGTGTGTGTGTTTTCGAAGGTAAGCCTTATATTTCTGCATGAGACGAGATATTTGTCTGTTTGTTACATTTCTTCCACGAGTATCGACAATTTCATGGTTTCTGTTCAAAGACGAATCCACTGAAACATACAGACGGTATTTCTTTATGTACATACTCTGCTGTTATGAGGAAACGCCTGGGGCTTGTGCGCCATCTCATGTTGCATGTTAGCAAATCTTGTAAGAATTGTGATACTTATATGTTACGCATTTCTTTACCACGGATATTTTCGTTCGATACTATTTCGTCACGTAGTCCACAGTTCATGGAAATCTATCTAGACTATGCTTCATTTTCTTTTGCGGGGAGTAACGTTATGAATGTTTTTTTTTCGGGGAGGGGGGGGTATTTCTGACTATACTAGCTCCCCTTTGGAGACCCATGTTAATGGAGGTTTTTATGCCTGTTATTCTGTTTAACAGGAGCAGGGATAGCGTAGTCGGTATAGCGACTAGCTACGGACTGGACGACCGAGAGGTAGGGGATCCAGTCCCGGTAGGTTCTAAATTTTCTCTTCTCCATATCGTCCAAACCGACTCTGGGGCCCACCAGCCTCCTATCCAATGGGTACCGGGGGTTCTTTCCCCAGGGGTAAAGCGGCAAGGGCCGTGAAGCTGACCACTCACCTCCAGCTAGTACCGAGGTCAAGAAAATGTGGATCTATACAACCACTTCCCCATTCGCCTTCATGATGTAGTGCGTAATTAGGCGAGCACAGGGACAGCTTTTTTTTTCCTTGGCACTACAGCCCCAGTGGATCTAGGCCTACCTCCATGAACTTCTACGTTCACTTCGGTTTTTCTCGATGTTACACATTCGGTAGGACTCCTTGGGCGAGTGATCAGCTCGTCGCAAGGCCTCTACCTGTACATAAACACAGAAAAACGCACACACACAAACTAAACATCCATGCCCTGAGTGGGATTCGAACACACGATCCCGGTTTCCCAACGAGCGAAGACAGTACATACATTAGACCGCTCGGCTATCGTGACCGGCCAGGGACAGCTTTACCTTTATGTATATTATTACACACGATGCGATAACATGTACTGATGAACCAAACACGGACTGTCAAGATCAATAGAGAATTGACAGACAACGAAATATTTTCCGTTTTAATGAAGATTTTTTTAACTTTCACTTTTGTTACTGTTAATCATGTATCAAAAGAAATATAAATTTCGTATTATCTAGTGTTACATTTTGCTTATTTTTTCTACATGCCCAAGGAGAGAGGCATAAGCCTGGTAACTTTCCTTAGGCGAATGAATTGGTGCTTTGCTTCTGATGTATAGAGCAATATACATGTCTCCGTGTTTATGTCTGTTTTCTGTTCTCGGTGTTTCAGTCTTGCATTCCTGCAAGGGTGAAATATATAATCTCCGTTATCATATTAATTATTCACAGTATATATATACAAAGGTCAAACAAGGTGACATGTTTAAGTGTCATTTTAACTAGTTTTCTAAGGCCGCGCCATAGCTCAAGCGGTTAGACTCTCTCTTCCAAAATAAACACAGAACTTCCTCTTGTGAAACAAGGCAGTCCACAGTTCTGACTATGACAGTGACAGTGAGAAAATGCAGCCGGTTGTGTGGCTCAAGGAATTATGCAAGATTCTCCACATCTGAGTACGTATCTTTGTTTGATCTAAAAACTTCAGGAAAATAAACACTTTAAGGCTAAGCTTAAGTAAATTACAGGAACTTTGTACAGTTTACGCCAAAACCACTGGCGATTGACGAAAAAGTGAATGGCGAAAGATGAGTGATGACAAAACAGGACACAGGCGTATACAGGAAATGAATGAATACACAAAGTCTTCTTAGAAGACATTCCAGGCAAAGAAGTATGAATCTTGTTTACCTAATCTAAAGCGGCCTCCGTTGTCTAGGGGTGACGTTCCCACCTCATGACTCAAGGTACGGGTTCAAACCCGGCGGAGGTAGTGGAATTTTTAAGGGCGGAAATATTCAGGGAACAAGTCCTCCGGGAGGGACTTTAAGCCGTGGGTACCGTGTCGTAGATTTACGGCACATCAAAGATCCTCATGTCTCTAGGAGACCTCTGAGCAAAATTAGGCAACAAGTTTCCCGCCCAAGTAGTTTCCAATGCCTCTGGTACATGGGGGAAATATCAGGTACCGAGGGCCGACCTCGTTGGCTGAACGGGGCTGATAGCACGCACCAGTACCGGTAGGGTATGGCGACAGTAGAAATTAAAGGGGGACGCATAATGGACCAATAACTGGTCTAAGTGCACGGGGAAACCCGCCCCCTCTAATAATAATAAAAATAATAATACTTAATCCGGACAAAATTTCTGAAGTAAATATATCCTTACAAATTTGTCTACTTGCACAGGTCTTCGCTGAATAGGGTTTTTTTTTCATGTATGTTGGCCTGTTGTTATGAACTGCAGTTAGAATTGAGACTTGTATACTTCAAATCATGAGAATATAGAAATGTCTGCCAAAGAGAGTCTAGGTTATTATGAACCGAAGAAGCATTAGCCATGGTTCGATGAAGGATGCTCAAAATTATTAGATCAAAGAAAGCAGGCCAAATCGCAATGGTTACAGGATCCAAGCGAGTTAAATAGGGATAATCTGAACAATATAAGACGTGAAACCAGCAGACATTTCAGGAACAAAAAGAGGGAATATCTGAAAGGCAAAATTGATGAGCTTGCAAAGAACGAGAACATTAGACACCTGTATAGAGGAATAAATAACTTTAAGAGGGCATACCAGTCTAGCAGTAACTTAGTGAAGGATGAGAATGGTGATCTGCTTGCAGATTGCCACAACATTTTGAATAGGTGGAGTAACTGCTTCTCTCAGTTATTGAATGTACATAAGGTCAGTGATGTTAGGCAGACAGAAATCGCTACAGCTGAGCCGTTAGTACCTGATCCTAGCCCTTTTGAGGTTGAAAGTGCTATTGCAAAATTGAAAGGGTATAAATCGCCAGGTAGTGATCAAATTCCGGCAGATCTTATTCAAGCAGGAGGCGAAATATTGCGTTCTAAGATCCACAATCTACTTAATTCTACTTGGCATAAGGAAAAATTTTCTGATCAGTGGAAGGAGTCTATTATTTTACCAGTTCACAAGAAGGGTGATAAACCTGATTGTAGTAATTATCGAGGGATATCACTGCTATCAACTTCATACAAAATTTTATCCAATATTTTTCTCTCAAGGTTAAGTCCATATATAGATGAAATTATTGGGGATCATCAGTGTCGGTTTCCACGTAACAGATCAACTACAGATCACATCTTTTGCATACGTCAGATATTGGAGAAAAAATGGGAGTACGATGAGACAGTACATCAGCTATTCATAGACTTCAAGAAAGCCTACGATTCAGTTAGGAGGGAAGTATTGTACAATATTCTAATAGAGTTTGGGATACCCATGAAACTAGTTAGGTATTTGGAGAGGGCGCTGTGTGAGTTGTGGTGGGGATACGGCGGAGGAGGGGGTATCGATCGATAGCGGTATAAGTGCCATTTGCAGTAGTCGCAATGGCGTGGCACAGTGAGCATCGTGCGTTTGTTGTGGAAGAGTATATTTGTAATGGTGAATTGGTGATTACTACTCAGCGAGCATTTCGCATTCGGTTCGAACTTGGCCGACATGATCCTGTTCCGGATAGAAAAACTATTCACGTTTGGGTAACAAACTTTAGAGCAACAGGTTCTGCACTGAAAAAGAAATCGCCTGGCCGACCTCGGACCGTAACAACGCCGGAAAATGTGGCGCGTGTGAGAGCGTCCATCCAGCAATCTCCAAAGTGTTCAGCACTTAAACATGCAGCTGCCCTGGGATTGTCTGATAGGAGTGTAAGAAGAATCCTGCACAGAAATCTACACATGCACCCATACAAAAGGATGGTTACCCAAGAATTAAGTGAGAGAGATTTTGAAACTCGCAAAGCTGCGTGTGAGGACATTCTTCAGAACATTCCCTCTGGGGCTGTTTTGATTTCATCTGATGAGGCCCACTTGCACTTGTCAGGTACTGTAAATAAACAAAATTTCCGCTACTGGTCAGCAGAAAACCCTCAGGAACTTCACCAACGACCACTTCACAGCCCTCGTGTGACAGTTTGGTGCGCCGTTGCTGAATTTGGTGTGTGGGGTCCTTATTTTTTCGAGGAAAATGGGCTAACGGTAACAGTTACTTCGAATCGCTACTGTCACATGATCGAGACCTTCCTCCGACCTAAGTTAAAC